AGAGGCTTCTCATTCATTGATGATGTGAAGAAAATAGTTGAAGCTGAATGCCCTGGAGTTGTCTCTTGTGCAGATATTGTTGCATTAGTTTCTAGAGACTCTGTTGTGGTTACACTAAGTGTAATGATCCAACCGGTCATTTTGACTTTTAGAACCTCATTCCCTAAAATAAAACTTTCCGTATGTGCTTTTAATGATTTATGACTTGCGAGGATGGTTGGTTCGGGATTTGGAAGTGTTTGGGTTGAAATCGGAATATTTGGTTCCTCAAGTTGGCTTTAAAAGGCCAAGTTTTACTTCGGTCAAAACAACCCCGGAATAGAATTTTGACAATTCCAACAGCTCCGTATGGTGATTTTGGACTTAGGAGCGTGTTCGGAATTTTATTTGGAAGTCCGTAGTTAAATTAGGCTTGAAATGGCTAAAACAAGAATTTAAGTTTGGAAGTTTGACCAGGGAGTTGACTTTTTTATATCGAGGCCCAGGCTCAAGGGCCATGATCGAAGCCACGATCGAGGCCCAGTTCCGAAGGCTGCCTCGGCAGATTATAAAGGAGAAAACTTCGTCCCATTTGCTATTTTTGACGAACTTGAGCTTGAGCAGAAGCGATTTTTGACAGATTTTCAAGAAAAAATATTTGGGTAAGTGATTCTAACTCGGATTTGGTCAATATATACGGATATATCATTATTTTCACCATTTAATTAGTGTATGGAGATGGAAATTTGAGAAATTTTTAGAAATCTCATAGAAACTAATTTTTGAGATTTCGGTATCGATTCAGAGTCGGATTTGAGTAAAACTGGTATGGTTGGACTCGTAATTGAATGAGTTGTCGGATTTCGTAACTTTCGCCGGATTCCGAGATGTGGGACCCACAGACGATTTTTTAATTAATTTCGGAATTTTTATTGAAAATGTAGTATTTTCTTATGAAATTGATTCTATAATTTTTGGTGACTGTATCGAATTATTTTTGGTTAGATTCGAGCAAATCAAAGTTGGATAATCGAGGAAAAGGCCTACTAATGGATTAAATCGGAGCAAGACGAGGTAAGTTTCTTGTCCAATCTTGTGAGGGGGAAATTACCCCATAGGTAATTAAAGTAATAATTGATGTTAATTATGGGGGCTACGTACANAATAAATAGAAATAAACAGGTAAATTCCATAACTCAGTAAATGCCACAAGGAAGCTTAACAGATGAATGCAGCAACAACACAAATAAATACAACCTCACAGTAATGTCACTCCATCACTCATCACTCGCACTCGACACTCATACTCAGAACACTCAACACTCTACGCTCACTGGGGGTGTGTACAAACTCCGGAGGGGCTCCCAACGTCCAAGCGCTAAGCACGGACAACTCACGTGCCATCATATCAATACCTGGATCCGCACTGTCAACTCATGTGCTACGCGTACAACTCACGCTCTATGGCATCAATACCTGGACCCGCACGGTCAACTCACGTGCTACGCGGACAACTCACGCGCTATGGTATTAATATCCTCACAATCAGGCCCTCGGCCTCACTCAATCATGTACCTCACTAGCCTCACAATGCACCACCAACAAGGGGACACAACCCATATCAAGTATCACAACATATCAGCAAAATAATAGAGATTGAGGTAAATATGTACAATAATTTCTATGACTGAGTACAAATAATGTGAGCATGAATAAAGCCTAAGCATGATCTCTAACATGAAGGCAAACAAGTTCAACAACAAGTAACTATGTAAACACAGATGATGGCCAGGAGGCCTCACGGGACGGACCAACTCTCAATCCCTCAAGGTATACACCCACACGCACGTCACTTAGTGTAGGTATCACTTTCAAACAATCACGTGATATCAAATCTTCCGGTTTATACCCTCAAAGCCAGAGTTAAAACTGTTACTTACCTTAACAGCGTAAAATCCTACTCTGAGATGCCCTCGTCTATGGATTCGGTCTCCAAAAGCCCCAAATCTAACCATAATCAGATTAATACCATCAACATAGGCTAACAAATCGAATTCCAATATAAAAACTACAAAATATGCCAAAAATCTAAAATCGGCCAAAACCCGGCCCCCAGGACCATGTCTCGAAATCAATCAAAAATGGCAGAATAATAAACGTCGTCCTCTCCCGAGTCTAACCATATAAAATTCATCAAAATCGGACTCCGTTTGGTCCCTCAAATCCTCACTTAAACTCTCCAAAACTCAAACCCTAACTCCCTCAATTTCACTTTGAAATCATCAATAAAATCCCAAAAACGAAGATGGATTCATGAAATATAACCAAAACTGAGTAGAGAACACTTACCTCAATTCTTATGGTGAAAATTGCCCCCAAAATCGCCCAAATCCGAGCTCCCCAATTCAAAATATGACCGAATGAACAAACCCTCGTTTTATATATTTTTCTGCCAGTTATTCTGCCTCGTTTCTCATGCCAAATGATCCCCTAACTCGCTTTTTATGCCTCCAATGGATTCCTTGTGAAATTCTAGTCGAAGTTAGGCTTTTGAATCACTCAATTTGACCTTATAATGAAGGAGATATGTAGGTTTTAATATTCGCAAATAGTGCAGATTTTTAAATACACCGTCAGTGGTAATTTCGTAATTAATCTGAAAAATCTGGCAATCTAATTCTTAGTAAAATGACCATAAAATCCTCATACGATGTCCAAATTCGACGATTATTTTTGCTACGGGTCCGTAATTATGATATAGATCTAATGCTTTAATCAAAAAGGAAATCAGAGCTCATTATTTCAATATGATATCATTTATGCTTGAAGAAACAATGTCGAAACATAAGAAGGACGAGCGCAACACAATCCAAACCTATCCGAAACTCACCCGAGGCCCTCGGGACCTCAACCAGTAATTCCAAAAATTCATATATCACTACCCGAACTTAGTCGAACCTTCGGAACACCCAAAACAACATCAAAACACCAAATCAACCTCGGATTCAAGTCTAAGAACTTTTAAACTTTCAACTTTCGCCAATTCAAGCCTAATTCTACCACGGACCTCCAAATTATATTCCGGACACACTCCTAAGTCTAAAATCATCCAACGAAGCTAATCGAATCATAAAAATTCACATCCGAATTCGTTTACTCATAAGTCAACTTCCGGTTGACCTTTCTAACTTAACTTTCTAACTAAGAGACTAAGTGTTCATTTCACTCTAAAACTATTCCGGACCCAAACCTTCTAACTCGATACAACTCAACACCACTGAACAACACATAAAGAAGTAGGAATGGGAAAACAGGGCTATAGGTCTCGGAACAACTGGCCGGGTCGTTACACATATGCTTGATTTTCTATTTAAATTAATTAATTGTTAAGAGAAATTGTTCTTCCTCCCAAATTTATCTTATAATAAATATACTCATCTTCCGGAGGTACATAAGAAAATGTCCTCCTTTCTGGCGGAGCGGGCCGAACGCCTCGGCAGGATAAATGCATCTATGGATTGCACCGCACGTC